ATTTCCACTTGGCATCTGGCGTAATACGACTCCCAGCGGGCCGCCAGAAGCACCATCATCATCATCTCCCGACCGTGGCACCTGGGCCGCGGCGATACATATAACCGTATCCAATGTGTCATACCATCCGAGCCTGGGCTTTCAATAATGCGCTGCCGTCGTCGGGCCAGTAATGGACGTCGTGCGTGCGTCGCGGCCGACACCGGCCGTCGCCGCCGACAGGTCTATAGGCGTCACGTGCGCCGGCCGCCCACTGCGAGGGACCGGGACCGAGAAACGACACGGGAGCGGTACGACAAGGGGCTGCAGGAAGTATAGTCGACTACAGAATGATGTTCCACTCCTCAGAAGCTATCAGTTGACCGGGGCGCTAAGTTGTGCCGTTTATCATGCAATTAAGCGTGTCGATTGTGAGCATTGGGACAAAGCTATAATTTGTGAACTCAGCCCGTGTGATGCGGCACAGCATACCACTCCAGGCAAATGCCATTGCCTGTGATAAGTGGAACATCATTCTGTAGTCGACTATACATAGAAATGGAGAATCGACACAGGAGATGAAGGAGCGGGACATGGGACTGAGGACTGAGGATCGGCACGGTAAACTGCGGAGAGCCAATGTGAGACTGAGGAGCGGCATGACGGACTGAAGAGCGGCATGGAGGAAGGGACGAAGGGGGCGGCACCAGGGATAAAGGATCGGCGCAGTGCGGGGAAAGCGGCACGGGGTCTTCATTGATATCCCATTTTTCAGGACTCTTGTGTAGCTTTGTGACCGGGTGACGTCCTATCCCCCCCACCTTCTCACACCTAACAAAGACCGTTTCCAGCATCTGGGCCCAGCCGTCGTGCTACACGCAGAATGGGCTCTCGGGCCCCGTCGCTCAGGGGTGTCGATACGTCAGACAGACGCAACAGAGCGGTAGGAAACAGGAAGGAAGACGGAAGGAAGGAAGCGGGAGCACGCACACCACATGCATGTAGAGCAGGAAAGAGAGCGAGGGAGAGAGAGAGAGAGAGAGAGAGAGAGAGAGATAGAGAGAGAGAGAAAGAGAGAGAGAGAGAGAGAGAGAGAGAGAGAGAGAGAGAGAGATAGAGAGAGAGAGAGAGAGAGAGAGAGAGAGAGAGAGAGAGAGAGAGAGAGAGAGAGAGAGAGAGAGAGAGAGAGAGAGAGAGAGAGAGAGAGATTGAATGAGAGCAAACGACTCAGAGAGTGAGAAGGTAGAGTAGTGATAAGAGAGAGAGGATAAAAGTAAAGAGTAAAGAGGAGAGGGAGCAGAGCGGAGGAGAGGGTGAGAGCTGAGAGAGGATGGAGAGGAGGGACCGACCAGGCCGAGGGTGTAGAGGGTGGAGAGGGGTGAGAGGGTACGGGGGCGCACGTTTGTCTTCCAGCTGGGTGCCGGTCTGACAGGTGCTCCTATGGGGAGCTGGAGCGCCGATATTGCGCGGCGAATGAGACGGTGCGCCGGCCATACGGGATCGCTGCCCTTCCCTCCTTCGATTGGACGAAAAACGGGGCGGCTCCGGAGCCAATCGGGCCTCGGCCTGCTCTCCATCGCGGTACTAGCCGTGCCAGTGCTCTGCGCTACTCTTTTCATTATGAACCCTCACTTAATCGATTCTTCTCCAACCGAACTCACTCCAATTGACCGCCGTTATAAATCCACCTGCAATCGGTGATCAATGATGCAGATCTGAAGCCACCTGTAGCCAACCAAGACAAGACACGTAAAGCTTGTCTTACCACTAAGTTTGCTGCTACTCGTGCCGCTACTAAACTGGTCTATCATCCCACCACTATAAAGCTCGCCTCCCGTCCCATCACTAGGTTCGTTTCCCGTCCCACTATACTATATATAGGCTCGTCGGCCGCCTATTCGGCCAACGTCTTTGGATCGGGGTCTCTAGGGCCAGACACCAGACACCATGACGCATGACCACAATTGACAATTACAAATTGGATAAGAGGACGAGCTCTATTGCATTTATCGGCAGACATTAGGCATTCGTCACACCAACGATCGCCATCCACCACATCAATGTGATTGGTCTAACGCTGGAGTGATAAATGGGACGATTGGTGGCGCCGCTGCCGCATCATGATAGCCTTCGGATGAAAAAGACCAGTTCAAATTCCGATCCAACGTTGAAAAATGTTTTCTAAGCTTCGGTCGTCAGCGTAAGAACCGGATGCCACTTTTGGATTAAACACTCGGGGGCTATCGCTGTAACAGGAGTAGGATATGTCACAATGTTTTTAAGTAGGGGTTATTACCTCTACTAACTAAGCGGACAGTGCGTTTAAGCAAATCGGAACTGTTATATCGAGACGTCCTGTGCATTTGTGGCGGTAGCAATAATCCCTTTGCATATTAATTCATATTGCATTGAGCAATTGATCTAGTACCTGTTATCCCTAGTTATCTCCGAAACACACAGTGGCTCTCTGCAGCCAGCGAAGTCTAGCATTTTGCTGCTTCACTTCGCACAAAAAGAGATGATGGACCATTCCTTCATAAATGTAAGGCAGAACGAGTAAAACGGTGAGTTGAGAGCACAGCGTATGTTAGTAGAGTAGCTTGTGGGTACCCTTGTCATTATTATATTGACTATAATAAATTCGGTCTCGCACACACGTACATACTTATCAGTTCCAAAACGTCCGTGATGTGACCGAGTCTCAGTCTGTTTCTGTATGAGTTCCGGCCAGCCCAACGACTTTACCACTGGGCCGCCTGACTCGATGAGAGAAGGGACTGTTAAGTGGGAACAGTCGGCCATGTCAGAGGGGCTATTCGTCTTCTGAAGACGGAGGAGCTCGGCCGTGGGCGGGAGTGGCTGCCGGCGCCGTCCCCTGGCCCCTGGACCCGAGTGGCTCGCGGTGCCCGGGCGGCGTCTCTGCAAGAGTGGTCCGATAACCGAGAGTGTGCCACCGCGCGCACTAACCGGAACGGATAAATATAGGCTTAGGCCTTAGAGACATTATATATAGGTACAAAAATAAATATACCTTTACTACTGATATCAAAAATAAGGCGCTAATTTGGAGGGGTGTGAGCTGTGTAAAGTTACACAATAAACACCCTAGAAATGCAGGGCAACAAAAGCATATTGCTGAAGACATGTTAAGTGAGTGGGTTTCCTCACCCTATCACTGTTCTCCCCCCCCCCCTCCACCCCTCCCCACGGTCCGTGTCCACTGTCCAGTCTACCTCTGTCCTGTCCTGATCACCGGACTACCGGACACCATGGACAACAAGCCGTTCCCTCCATTAGCATCGGTCAATATAGGCGACACCATGGGGCACGAGGTAGGGGAACGAACTGGGAGCAAGGACCAGTGCAAGGAATCAGCGACACAAAGGAGGGGTCGCATGAGCCAGAACGTTAGACGCGCTGGTAAAAAGTCATGTGTCTTTAAGGCACACGGCTTGTGAGGGGCGCGTTTTCATCGACAATTCTTGAGAGAGCTACCGATACATCAGATCAGTCTGCGGTATCCAAGCCAGGTAGGGAGACAGCCATCTGTATGAACACAATGACGCCTCAATAAGCATATGTAGATACATTGAGCACATAGACAAAGGGAATGCGCAGTAGTGTGGTTTGTAATCTGTTCATTAGTGGCTGACAATGTCTGCCGAATATGGCCTTTTGTCGTCCTCTGGCCGTGTATGCGGTCGATGCCGAGCGGCAGCCGGGCAGCTCTTGGCCTCGACACACAAAGAAGAAGAAAAGCCAAAGGGTAATAAGAGAGGCCAACGGGGAAAGTAGCCACCCGTCATCTGGCCATTATGTTTGTGATTAATTAATGCCTTTCGTTTATGTTGTTGTCGTAGCGTGAAGAATGCTAAAAAAGAAACATTGAATTTATGAGTGTAAGTTATGTTAAATGAGCAACACTGTTCAACCATTTACTTAACAATCCGACGACGAAAATAAAACTTCTTTGCATGGGCGCAGATATATCCCTCATTTGGCCTCTTCAAACGCCATTTCATCTTCTGCTGCAATTCGTGCCGACATCGCTCATCTGCATACAAGGCCCGTCCCGCTCCGGTCCCACAATCTACCAGAGCCATTCCGGCCATTTCCGCATGAGTTATGCCCCTGCCGCGTCTAACCGATATGGAAACAATGTCCGACCATCCGCCGCCGCCCGCCCACCACGCTTTACGGCGAATGGCCCGGATCGGACGGCCGGAGCGAACCATCCATGGGCGGCCGAGCTCGGTCCGCCGCCGCGCCATCCATGATCCGCCGGCCGGTCCGCCGCGCCGCGCCGAGCGCAGCTCTGGACCGGGCCCGGCCGGCGCCCGGATCGACCTCACTGCGACAGATGAGAACGGACACGGGGCGAATTTCAAACAGCACACTGGCCTTCAATTTCGGAGGTGTGAGGCATGAGCGCGATTTAGTGAGCATGACTTGGGTAGTGATCTGCATGGGATTTCACTCAAGTTTACTGGTGCTACGGTGCTGAGCTCCTTAGAATAGATGATAATCTTGCACATGGGTAAATGCATGTGATGGTGAATACGGATCATTTCAATTTAAGCCTTCAATAAGCATTAGATCAATCTGTTAATGGCCCATGAATATCGAACGCTGTTGTATCGTGGTGGCTGCTGTGGTCACACCCCGCTCTATAGCCTGGAGCCGCCGCTGAGCCGGCGCCGGTATCGTATGCAGTCTGGGCTGTGGCCGCCCGGGCCACCGCCGCCCCGCTCGCTGAATACAGTTCTCGGCTGGTACTGGTGGCGTCTGCACCCTGGGGTTCATCAAGCCATAAGCAAGCACACAAACATGGCGCAGCCTGCCTTCTGAACTTGCCATGCCACTCATCAAGCAAGCATAAGCAAGCATTAGTGACTTTTTTGTGAAGCGTGCATCTAATTATTGTGATTTTTATCAGCCGTTGTTGAAGACCTTCGCCACTGATCCCGCTCATCAACACGAAAAATCTCGTAGATGCGCCAATCAGGTGTCAGCGCATGCTCATGCGACTGATGCGTTACAACGCAACAGCGGTGTTCATTCCAGGGAAGCAGCACCTGGTACCTGACTTCCTCTCGCGTCATCCACTCCAGAAGCACGATGCGATCGGCGCTGTGCTACAGGAAGACGTCCACAACTTCTGCAAGAGGGTCTTCGATGACCTGCCCGCCACACCGCAGCGTCTGGTGGAGATCAGCAGGGCACAACAGGCAGATGAAATCCTCCAGCGCGTGGTTCAGCAGACTCTCTCTGGCTGGAAGGAGGGAGCAAAGCACTCCGACATGCTGGACTACTTCGCCGCGCGTGGAGAAATCAGCGTTCTCTACCTGACAAGCGGCACACTGCTGATGTACGGCCGCCGCATCATCATACCGCCTAGTCTGCGTGAAGAGATGCTCAACCGTCTACATGACGACGGTCACTTCGGGCTCAACAAGTGCCGCCAGCGAGCAGCAGAATCCGTCTGGTGGCCCAAGATAAGCATCGACTTGAAGCGCCACGTCGAGCACTGCGCGTTCTGCCAAGTGCACGCGCCCTCCCAGCACGCTGAGCCACTGGTAACGACTCCAACGCCGTCAAGACCGTGGACTCACATCGCAGCAGACATCTTCCACTTCAACAACAGCAACTGGCTCGTGACTGTGGACCTGTTCAGCAGGTATCTGGAAATTCAACGCTTGCCCAGCCTCACAAGCACCGCAGTCATCGAGCGGCTGAAGCGCCTGTTCTCCAGACTGGGGATACCGGATCTGATGACAACAGACGGAGGAACGCAGTTCACCTCCAGCTCATTCGCCGACTTCGCAGCTTCTTACGGCTTCACACATCGCGTCACTGACCCGCACACGCCATCATCCAACGGAGCAGCTGAACGGGCCGTGAGGACCGCAAAGTGGATACTTCGCCAAAAAGATCCTCACCTCGCTCTCCAGAACTACCGAACAACGGCTGTGGAAGCCACTGGATACTCCCCAGCCCGCCTTCTGATGGGACGTGAGCTTCAGTCCCGTCTCCCCGTCGCTCAGCAGCCCGCCAAGAAGGCATGGCGGCACGCGAAACTCCGCGATGGGCGGAGAAAGAAGAAACAGGAGTCAACCGTCAATCAGAGGCGAGGCGCCCGCAACCTGCCTCCGCTGCAGCCCGGCGCCAGAGTCCGGATCAAGACAGAAAGGGGCAGCTGGTCGGAGCCCGCCATCGTCACGCAAAGGCTCTTTTCTATCTGGGCCCACCTCGTCTCTGTGTCCGTCAGACTTCTGCTGCAGAATGCGACGGGCTTGAAGATGGAACCATGCTTCTGAAGGATGCATCCTCCGATTCCGTAGCTGCTTGCGTCTGCGCTGACCACTGTCTCGCGCGCTGGGTCGTAGAACGCCAGGACTGGAGCGGACGTGACGGCTGCTTTCACATCATCCAGCGCTTGCTGCTGCTGAGGCGTCCAGTTCCACGCAGCGTCCTTTTTCAGCAGATCGTTGAGGGGCCTTAGGCGCTCCTGGATGTGCGGGACGAACCTGCAGAGGTAGTTGACCACCCCTAGCAGAGACCGGAGCTCTGTGACGTTCTTTGGCTGCTGGAGCTGCTGTATCGCTTCAAGTTTCTCGTCGTCCACGGTGATGCCATTCTTGCTTATCTTCATGCCAAGAAACTTGACCTCGTCCCTTCGGAACTCACATTTCGTCTTGTTCAGCTTGAGGCCAGATTCATGGATTCTTCTGATGACGGCTTCGAGACGTGCGTCATGGTTGCTTGCATCTCCAAAAACCAGCGTGTCGTCCATGTAGACGATGACTCCAGGCAGTCCATCCAGCATCTCCTGCATCTTTCGCTGGAAGCACTCCGGAGCCAGTGAGATTCCCATCGGCAGGCGCAGGAACCTCTTCCTGCCGAACGGTGTGATGAACGTAGTCATTTTGGAGCTTGCTTCGTCCAACGGGATCTGGTAGAAGCCAGAAGAAGCGTCCAGCTTGGAGAACAGTGTCGCACCGCCCAGTTTGGACGTCAGGTGCTCCAGGGTCGGGATCGGGAAGATCTCACGCTTTACGGCTTGGTTCAGCTTTTTGTAGTCAACTGTGATCCGGACACCACTGTTCTTCGGAACGGGGACGAGCGCGGATACCCAGTCTGTGGGCTCAGTCTCTGGTACGATGATGCCCTGCTCTTCCATTCTCTTCAGCTCTTCCTCCACTGGCTTCATCAGCGGCAGGGGGACGTGTCTTGCTGTGGAGAGGGCGACCGGGACGGCATCCTCGCGTAGCCGGATGCTGATTGGTGCCGTCTTCATGAGACCTGCTTCTCCGAAGACATCTTCATGCACCTCTCCAGTGAACTGGAGAACACCCAGACGCGAGCACGCCGACCGGGAGAGGAGGTTATCTGCTGAGTCCACTACATAGAACACCTCCGACTCTGCTTTGCTTTTGAACATGATTGTCCCATTCAGCTTTCCTTTTACGGTTAGCACGCCACCGACGCTAGTCAGCGTGCTTGAAGCATGCTCAAGGGAGGGCAGGTTCAGTCGCTGGTAGGTTTTCAAAGACAGAATGCTAACGTCGGCACCAGAATCAACTTTGAACGTGACCTTCTGACCGCAGAGACTGACTGTGATTCTCCACGGCGCGCACGCTTTGTCGATTGCACCAACGAAAGCATCATGTGGCGCTAACGGCTCGCTTGATTCTGTACGCTCTATCTGCCTGACGCTAGGTGATCGGCAGACGGCTGCGAAGTGATCCATTTTCTGACAGTTGGAACAAACTTTTCCCTTAGCGGGACAGTCCCTCGGTGAGGCATGCCGCTCTCTCCCGCAATACCTGCATGTTGTTGCAGAGTCGATGTGACGCGCTTGCTGTCGTGGCTGCGTGACAGGTCCGCCATCGTCACGCAAAGGCTCTCCAGACGCAGCTATCTGGTGGAGCTGGGCGGCTGCCAATATCGCCGCAACCGACGGCACCTGCTGCTGATCCCTCCTGTTCCGTTACAGGTCCCGGCACAGCACGGAACCGGGCAACGGGCAGCACCAGTGCCACCTCCGGTGGTGCCGCCGACATCCGTGGCAGTACCACGCCCGGTGGTGACGCCACCACCACCACAGCAGCTTCCGCCAGCTGCGCCGTCGCCTGAGCCGGCGACGTCTCCGCTGGCACCCGCTCCGCCATCAGTGCAGCCCGCTGACGACCCCGTACACGTTAGCCCACGTAAAACTCGCAGCGGTCGAATTTTCGGGGTTTAAGAAAACCAGCTTTGTGCTTGGAGTACAGCTAGTAGATCTTATTAGCATACGCGTAAGAGGGGGAGATGTATCGTGGTGGCTGCTGTGGTCACACCCCGCTCTATAGCCTGGAGCCGCCGCTGAGCCGGCGCCGGTATCGTATGCAGTCTGGGCTGTGGCCGCCCGGGCCACCGCCGCCCCGCTCGCTGAATACAGTTCTCGGCTGGTACTGGTGGCGTCTGCACCCTGGGGTTCATCAAGCCATAAGCAAGCACACAAACATGGCGCAGCCTGCCTTCTGAACTTGCCATGCCACTCATCAAGCAAGCATAAGCAAGCATTAGTGACTTTTTTGTGAAGCGTGCATCTAATTATTGTGATTTTTATCAGCCGTTGTTGAAGACCTTCGCCACTGATCCCGCTCATCAACACGAAAAATCTCGTAGATGCGCCAATCAGGTGTCAGCGCATGCTCATGCGACTGATGCGTTACAACGCAACAGCGGTGTTCATTCCAGGGAAGCAGCACCTGGTACCTGACTTCCTCTCGCGTCATCCACTCCAGAAGCACGATGCGATCGGCGCTGTGCTACAGGAAGACGTCCACAACTTCTGCAAGAGGGTCTTCGATGACCTGCCCGCCACACCGCAGCGTCTGGTGGAGATCAGCAGGGCACAACAGGCAGATGAAATCCTCCAGCGCGTGGTTCAGCAGACTCTCTCTGGCTGGAAGGAGGGAGCAAAGCACTCCGACATGCTGGACTACTTCGCCGCGCGTGGAGAAATCAGCGTTCTCTACCTGACAAGCGGCACACTGCTGATGTACGGCCGCCGCATCATCATACCGCCTAGTCTGCGTGAAGAGATGCTCAACCGTCTACATGACGACGGTCACTTCGGGCTCAACAAGTGCCGCCAGCGAGCAGCAGAATCCGTCTGGTGGCCCAAGATAAGCATCGACTTGAAGCGCCACGTCGAGCACTGCGCGTTCTGCCAAGTGCACGCGCCCTCCCAGCACGCTGAGCCACTGGTAACGACTCCAACGCCGTCAAGACCGTGGACTCACATCGCAGCAGACATCTTCCACTTCAACAACAGCAACTGGCTCGTGACTGTGGACCTGTTCAGCAGGTATCTGGAAATTCAACGCTTGCCCAGCCTCACAAGCACCGCAGTCATCGAGCGGCTGAAGCGCCTGTTCTCCAGACTGGGGATACCGGATCTGATGACAACAGACGGAGGAACGCAGTTCACCTCCAGCTCATTCGCCGACTTCGCAGCTTCTTACGGCTTCACACATCGCGTCACTGACCCGCACACGCCATCATCCAACGGAGCAGCTGAACGGGCCGTGAGGACCGCAAAGTGGATACTTCGCCAAAAAGATCCTCACCTCGCTCTCCAGAACTACCGAACAACGGCTGTGGAAGCCACTGGATACTCCCCAGCCCGCCTTCTGATGGGACGTGAGCTTCAGTCCCGTCTCCCCGTCGCTCAGCAGCCCGCCAAGAAGGCATGGCGGCACGCGAAACTCCGCGATGGGCGGAGAAAGAAGAAACAGGAGTCAACCGTCAATCAGAGGCGAGGCGCCCGCAACCTGCCTCCGCTGCAGCCCGGCGCCAGAGTCCGGATCAAGACAGAAAGGGGCAGCTGGTCGGAGCCCGCCATCGTCACGCAAAGGCTCTTTTCTATCTGGGCCCACCTCGTCTCTGTGTCCGTCAGACTTCTGCTGCAGAATGCGACGGGCTTGAAGATGGAACCATGCTTCTGAAGGATGCATCCTCCGATTCCGTAGCTGCTTGCGTCTGCGCTGACCACTGTCTCGCGCGCTGGGTCGTAGAACGCCAGGACTGGAGCGGACGTGACGGCTGCTTTCACATCATCCAGCGCTTGCTGCTGCTGAGGCGTCCAGTTCCACGCAGCGTCCTTTTTCAGCAGATCGTTGAGGGGCCTTAGGCGCTCCTGGATGTGCGGGACGAACCTGCAGAGGTAGTTGACCACCCCTAGCAGAGACCGGAGCTCTGTGACGTTCTTTGGCTGCTGGAGCTGCTGTATCGCTTCAAGTTTCTCGTCGTCCACGGTGATGCCATTCTTGCTTATCTTCATGCCAAGAAACTTGACCTCGTCCCTTCGGAACTCACATTTCGTCTTGTTCAGCTTGAGGCCAGATTCATGGATTCTTCTGATGACGGCTTCGAGACGTGCGTCATGGTTGCTTGCATCTCCAAAAACCAGCGTGTCGTCCATGTAGACGATGACTCCAGGCAGTCCATCCAGCATCTCCTGCATCTTTCGCTGGAAGCACTCCGGAGCCAGTGAGATTCCCATCGGCAGGCGCAGGAACCTCTTCCTGCCGAACGGTGTGATGAACGTAGTCATTTTGGAGCTTGCTTCGTCCAACGGGATCTGGTAGAAGCCAGAAGAAGCGTCCAGCTTGGAGAACAGTGTCGCACCGCCCAGTTTGGACGTCAGGTGCTCCAGGGTCGGGATCGGGAAGATCTCACGCTTTACGGCTTGGTTCAGCTTTTTGTAGTCAACTGTGATCCGGACACCACTGTTCTTCGGAACGGGGACGAGCGCGGATACCCAGTCTGTGGGCTCAGTCTCTGGTACGATGATGCCCTGCTCTTCCATTCTCTTCAGCTCTTCCTCCACTGGCTTCATCAGCGGCAGGGGGACGTGTCTTGCTGTGGAGAGGGCGACCGGGACGGCATCCTCGCGTAGCCGGATGCTGATTGGTGCCGTCTTCATGAGACCTGCTTCTCCGAAGACATCTTCATGC